ATGGCATTTTAGGAATGCTACTGCACTGGTCTAGCAACCATAAGGGCAGAAAGAAATAAAAGGAAAAAGAAGAGTGTGCCCCTATGCAGTTATAAGTATAGAGATTCACTAGCATAAAGGACCAACATCAGCAAGACCTTGCTTTCAGTGACTTTAATGGGAGGTTCATCCAAGTAAGAAAAAAACAGGACTACAGGGTTAAGTCCAAACTAGAATGCAATTAATTCTCATTCTTTCTGCAGTCTTCTATGCAGATGACCAAGATTCTATTCTTTAAAGATGTTTTTGTACCAATGTAAATCAGGACTCCACTGAAGTAATCAGAGTTATACAAGAATAAAAGTGCTGTAGATTAGATAAAATAAGAACATAAAATATTTAGAAGTGTGTTTTTCCCTATAAATTCTACATACTGAATTCTCATAGTAACTTGGATTTTATACTTATGCATATGCACTGACTTCAGTGGAATTACTCCTGATTTGCAGTGACATAAGTCAGTGGGAAACAGGCAAAGGGTATTTATGAAGAAGCTCCTTTAAAAACCAAAGGCTCACATTCTCAGTGATTCTAATATGGAAAATATTGTTCCTTAAAAATAAAAAAAAGGAAAAAGTCTGCAACACTGTGATGAACTAAAAGGGCATCCATCCTTTGCAAGTCTGACTTTCAGAGATCTCAGTTTCTACACACTGCCCACATTACCAGTCAATAACAAACTGAGAGCTACTGGCAGTCTACTGAGGTTAATAAATCACTTGCTTTTGGCACCATTTCAGCCAAACTGCTCCAATGGAAAACAATTAGTTTAAAAATAAAGCAAGAAGAGCATAGAGGCTTTTATTTACTATGAATCCTAACATCTTATTCCTTCTGAATAGTAGTTCCTTCAGCAGCCATAACCATTTCTGCTGTAAATAACAGAGGTGTGTGTCAAGTTAGAGCCAAAAATCCTTTTAGAATTCGATAGTGTTTAGGTCATCTGCACTCTGTTGGCAAGTGCTGAACTCTGAAACCATAATGATGCATCTCAGCAACAGTGCATGTCTTGCCACTAATGAGGCACTTTTTCCATGAATAATTACTATGGACATCATCTCGGTTGCCAGGTACATAACATAAACAAAACTCCACACAGCCTTTGGTATAGCAATATGTCTGCTTGCAAAGGCTGAGGTATTCAAGAATGTGATCCAAGTTTTCAGCCAAGGGTGGGGGCAGACTGCTCAAGGAAATAATTTGTTCATATGTTATCAAAATACAATAAATCAGGTTTGGGCTTAACTGAAAAAAAAAAGGTAGTGGAGTGGGACCAACAGAAACTGCCGATATGGAAGTATAAATGAGTTCATGGCTTTATGTTCCAATAAATCTTACAACACATAAAGCTGATGAGTTCTAAAATGAGCTGAGACTCCCCTAAGAATGGTCTTCGGAGACTTATGAATTGTAAGCTTTATACTAGTTAAATTTTGTTCATTGAGTCCTTGGGCATATGCTACACACACACACACACACACACACACACACACACACACACACGTCTGTCTATGTATATAGTAAGGGTCCACACAGAGAAAAGAAAGTGTCCAAGTCATTTTTTTTACAAGCTTCATTTTAAATGCATGCCATCAAAATCAATTATTTTCTTGAATTTACAACGTGATTTGGAATATGCCACATGCTTTCAGAGAGATAAGGAGTACCCTCCCCAGTCCTACTGACTTCAGTGGGAGTCAAGGGCATGGAGTACCACCCTGGAATTGTTCAAAACTATCTAAGAGCAGACCCTGAATAGGCAATAAGGAAGAGAAATGGTGTCACGGTAGACTAGGGTACTATCCTGATATTCAAAAGATCACAATTCAGTTCCATGTTCTATCACATACTTTCTCTGTAAGTATGTGATACCTTGACTAACCTTGCAGGAATCTGTACAGTGAAGCCTGACAAACTTCCTTATCTCACAGCAGCACTGTAAGGCTATAAATACAGTAAGGGCTATGAGTCTTTAGTATGAGGCCTGCTGAGGAACAGCAGAAAAGGGATATTAACACTTGTAAGGCAGAGCAAAATGTATGCTTGTTTTTCCCTCTGAACTCATCAAACCAAAGCCAGCAAGGTTCCATATTTGAGTTATGGGCATTCTGGAAAAAGGGGAAAGCACAAGAAAGCTATTTGACTGCATGGATCACTATAGTAGGTGTTTTTCTTTCCTTTGCTGCTTCCAACCAAACTTGATACAAGAACCTCTCCAGAAACAATGTGACAACCAAAGCATTGAAAAAATGGTACGACACTCCGATTATTGCCTGGGCTTTGGTAGGAATCTAAGCAGGAAGGCAGTAAAGAGCTGAAAACACATACACAATACAGGCACACTGTCTATTATAAGACCATACTTCCCATATAGAACCGTATTTTACTTGATTACAATTTTACTAAACTGTAGCTGTTTCAGCTAAAATATACATTCTAGGTGTCTGCCTCACAGCCTTTTATTTGGACATCTGAAACAGGGACTTGAAATTTGGCAGGGCAGCAGCCTGTATGTCAAAGATGTACCCATTGCCATCTCAATGCAAATTTTCTCAAACTTGCCAAGTTATAATACTTTGAAAGCAGGCTGCACATCCTCTAAAAAGACTTCCAGAGCTTACCTTAGCAGCAAAGCTCTTCAAAGATTCTGTGCTCACTGTGCATATTTCAGTGTCTTATGACTACCAGTACAGCCCAGAGCGTATATACACCATCTTCACAGAGACACTGACCGTGGTCATACTCTCACAGTTCTTATATCGGAAACCGAGTGAAACTGAACTGGAACTGAAAATAAGGGCATGCCTTTTTTGTATTTTAAGTGACACTCCCTCCCACTTAGTGGCACCAAGGTAGCATAGGCATAGAAGAGGAAGTCATTTTTTTCAAATGCACAGGTAACAGAAGCCTAGCCAAGAGGGAGAGAAAGCAGTCAGATTGCGGCAATGAAGGCTTGTGAGATGGTAAGTAGAGCGTGGATTAAGAAAGACACTGTTACAGAGCTGTGTGGGAAAGAGACTCTGAGGAGGAACTGTGGGTAAGGGAGAGAAAGCTGGTACTGGTTGGGTAAGGAGAGTAACAGTCAGTGAAAGAGATGGAGAATGAGTAAATTGGAAGTCAGCTTGCTGGAGGGAACACCAGGACAAGGCAAAGAATTGAAGGGAAGGTGGAGGCCGAGTCTGGACAACAAAGATGGCTAGGAATGAGGGAAGGAAGAATAGGGGCAAGAAAACATACCTGACAAGGACCCGAGGAGGAGAACCAAAATTGGCTGGCCAAATAGATTGAGATAAGGATCCAGGTAAAAAGAAGACTTGAATGAGGGGCTGGATAGGGGAGAATGAGGTTGGATGTAAAGCACAGGGATTTAGACTAAGATAGGAAGTCACTGTGGATGGGGCAAGGGAGAGACAGACTGAACGAAGTGCCAAGAGGGGAGAACTAAAATTGGTCAGGCATGCCACCTGGGAACTGGCCAGCAAGCTCAGACAGGAAACTAGCACTGTCGGGGTAAAGAGACTTGGACTGGAATGAGACTGAGAAACTGATGGAGTGAAGACGGGCTCAGCAGGCAACAAGAACAGAATTAGGAGAAAGAACTAGCAGCGGGGACGACTGGGGGAAGACTAGAGGTTGGGACAGAAATATTTGAGAAAAAAGATAGAAGGGCGCCAACTGAAACACACTTCTCCAGAGTCTGAAATGGAAAACAAGATTCCAGAATCTTCTCATCCCTCTGTGATCAACAAATACTGTGAAAACCACTGGCAAAGTCTCTCTCTCATCCCCTCCAGTGCTGGTCCACAGTTATCAATTATTCTGTTCCGTGCTGTGGATCTACAGGCTTCACCCTGGCTGATCGCTGATGTACATTCGGATGCCACATGATACAATTTGGGTTTTTTATTTGATTTGTTTAAAAATAAGAAATTACATGTAAAAACCAATACGAAAGAACATTATTAAGTGTGTAAATTCAAGCACTTTAGGAAGCTTGGACATATTAGAAAAAACAGTTGTCATTCTAACCTTTATTTATCTACCTCAGATACAGTATGATGCAGTCTCTAATTATGTGATCACATAGAGAATCTTCCAAAGAATTCCTGGCTTATTTGGTGCACAAAACAGAGCTGCTCCAGAAATGTTGCCTGTAGCCTGTAGGACTTCTGCCTCACGTGTTAGAGAAGTAGGAACGTGAATCCTGAATAAAGTGTAGTATTACAGGAAAAGTGAGCTCTCTCTTTGTAAAGGCAGGTAAACGTGGCTCTGGAAAATTGAATTCTATCACTGCCTCCAGTGGCTATTTAGTGATCAGAGTCACTTAGGTGGACTTTTTACAGGTGGGCACCGACTGCGTGTTCAGCTTGAGACCCTAGTGTCTGGCTTGAAATGCTGACTGTGTACAGCTAAAGTTGAAGTCAATGGGAGCTATACCTTTAACATAAAATGCTTTATAATGTAACAGGAACTTAAAAATTTGGTCCTATGCATCTCAAATTGCGGAAATAAAACTCATGGTAAATTCAGACCTTTTTGGTGCCTCAGCTCCTTGTTCCATTCCTTCATTTAACAGCTGTGTTGTGAAGAAAATTCTTTTGGACTCATCTACTACTGCAAAGTGCACCAGGAAGAAACTCAAATAATAATTCTGGACAGTATGTAGCAAAGGAGGCATGAGGTTGCCATATTGTATGTGGAGGAGAAAAGCAAATATGGAGTAGTTGCTAGTTAGTCCTGTGCAATGAACATGTTTGGTGGGGGGAAAATAGCACATGATCACATATTAAAGACTGAGTTATAATGCATATAGAAAAGGGGGTTGAATTAACAACACAAGTTACTTTAAACTTTAGTATTTTTTACTTTAAAGTGTTTGATTTTGCAACCTTAAAAATGCTCTTCTGAAATAATTTCTGTCTTCAATATGTATAAGGATACATAGATACATTTGGACTTACCATCATACTTTGCTAAAACTGCTTGAACATCTGCATATGCTTGCAATTCCAGCAGAGCTTCTAGCAGGTTTTCGTGGATGTTGAACATACTGAGCAGAGGAAACTCCTTCATTAACTAAAATCAATAATAAAAAAGAGTTAGATACAATGTCTAATTGAAAATATTCAGTCTCATTGCCCTTAATCATCAAGTATCCACTGATACCATTGGAAATACTTCTATTGGACGTCAGTGTGGTCTGGCAAGCCTCTTTGACATCAACAAGACTTGCATATACTGTAGTTTAATCCATCAGGCCCAAAAAGAGGCTTATCTGAACAACTTCCCCTCACTGACAGTCTCTTTTTGACATTAAGGAATATTTTCTTATTGTAGAGAAAGATAAAATTGAACAAGCCTATTCAGTTAAGCTTACATATTTCCAAATCATCTGATGCAACATGTCTCTGTTGGGCTTTGCAAAAAACAGAAAATATATAGGAAAGTCACAAAATGGTAAAATGAAAAAGATTTGCACCTGTTGTGTTTTGTATCTCAATTACTGTTTCATTCATACATAGCAAATAGAACTCTGTAAGAAGCTAGCAATAGCTGCTAACATATTTTTGGCCAATCCAGGTTAAAAAATAGGAGACAGTAGCAGAGAGAGAGATTAGGTGGAGCCTTAATGCTATTTTAATACTATAAAAGAATCCATAGCCTGTGACAAATGAATGACAACATCTGTAGTTAAGAGGCTCAGGAATTATTTTAGTATGTGCTAAATAGACATTGAAGTGCATTTGTTTTATGACTGATCCTTTGAGAAACACCAGAGAGTCTCAGAATGCTAGTGGACACTTACAGCCAAATTTTACTTTTGAATATATGTGCAACTCCTGCTGACTACAAGCCAACTGAGCTTCACATTTCTTCTCACCTGCCTTTTCAACTGACATCTTTTGGAAACTTTAGCACAGTTTAATGTCTATATTCTATTGACCAATTAGAATCAATTTAATTAATTTAGTTAAAGAAGTTTCATTTTTTTTGTCAAACTGCTAATCTAGGACTTGTAAGAGGTTGTATTGTATCCCTGGTATTAAGGGATCTTGACCATCACTGTGCTTTCATTCCTTTAGTGCATATCTTGCATAGAGATTAACTAAATGGCTATCCAATGATTGTCCCAGAATAGTGGAATCCCAAATTGGCATCAAGTCAGGGTAGGCTACATTAACTCTGTTCCCTACCAGTTTCATTTCTTTCCAGGGTGAGCATATGTGGGTGAAGCATTCTAACTCCATTGCCCACTGATGGAAATGTCTTGGGGAGAACGAGGTGGCCAAATGAGAATTAGGCCAACTCTGAAGATATTCAAATGTGTAAGCTGACAAACTGGGTCCCCTACCAGCTCCAGGCCTGGGTTATGCAAAGATAACATGTAGCTACCTTTGTCCTTTAGTTCTGCACTGATCAGAGGTTATCTGAAGTCCCACCTCTTGGAGAGATTTTTCAGTAGGTGTGTAGGAAGGAAATACAGCATTTCCACTATATACGAGTCCCTGGTATCTGATGTACAATATAATTCACTAAGGTCACTCACTGTGCTCATTATGCATCATACATGAATATAGTATGAGACCAAAATAACAGTTAATTAGAAATTGTGTGTATTCAACCTAAAAGTTCAAATTAAAAATGGGGGGAGGGGGGACCACTCAAAACCATATACCATGTCGGAAAAACTGGAAGAGATGATTAATCATAGAATCATAGAAGTAGGTTCGGAAGGAACCTTGTAGATCTTCAAGTCCGACCCCCTGCCTGGGCAGGAGGAAAACTGGCCTCAATTGACCCCAGCTAGGTAGGCATAAAGCCTCTTCTTAAAGACCCCCAGGATAGGAGCCAGCACCACTTCCCTTGGAAGTTGGTTCCAGATCCTAGCCGCCCTGACTGTGAAGTAGTTCTTACGGATGTCCAATCTAAACCTACTCTTCAACAACTTGTGGCCGTTATTCCTTGTTATCCCGGGGGGCGCTAGGGGAAACAAGGTCTCCCCCAAACCCTTCTGGTCCCCCCTAGTGAGTTTATAGACTGGCACCAGGTCCCCCCTCAGCCTTCTCTTGTGGAGGCTGAACAGGTTCAGGTCCTGTAGCCTCTCATTGTAGGGTCTGCCCTGCTGTCCCCAGATCTTGTGGGTGGCCCTCCTCTGGACCCTCTCAATGTTATCCACATCCCTCTTGAAGTGGGGTGCCCAGAACTGGACACAGTACTCCAGCTGTGGCCTGACCAGTGTCGTGTAGAGGGGGAGGATCACCTCCTTGGCCCTACTTGAGATGCAAAGATTAATTCATCTTTGAAGATAATTAAAGTAAATAGAGAGAAAAAGCAAATTATAATCTAACTGTGAGCAATAATATACCAGAGTGACCAAAAATGGTAGTAAGCCGGGTATCACACAGTGAAGAACATGGGTTCAGGGAATCAACTCCATTCAGAAAGAGGATACTTGTAGACAAATAGTAATTCAAAACATAGGGTGAAATTCATTCTTCTACAGAGGGCCAAACATTAACTAACCGAAGTGAATTTGTGCCATTAACTAGGAATGTGCACAGACATTTGCTCTTGCAGGAGAAATTCTCCTGGGAACAATTTAACCCTAGTTGTTCCCAGGTTATTTTTCTCCTAGAGTGGCCATTTTTGCTCTGGGAAAAAAATCCTGAACATCCGTGGACTTATGATTTCTCCAGGAAGAGCAGTGACTCTCCCAAGAGAAACTAAATGTCTATACATGGCCATGGACTGAAGTGATATCTGAAGTGGTATTCTAGCCCTCTCCACAGCACTATCTGTGCTACAATTTGAGGCTTACAAAAGTACCGCAAAAGAAGGATGGCAATATTTTATTGGTATATATTTGTACTAAACTGGTAACACAAACTTCTGGTCAGAATCACAGCTATCTACAGGGATATTGAAAGAGCTCATTGGATTTATAAAGCATATAACAGAGACAGTAACAAACTCTTAAAGAGAGAAAAAAAATCAATTTCAGGACACTGAGGGATACAAAGAGCATGAACATTTGATAGTTTGCAGCAGGCATGTCCTCTTTGCTTATCTATCACATTCATCCAAATGGTGCAGGGAGCTTGGTATTTATCTAAATGTGCGGGAAATTTGTTACTAAATGCAATCACTGTTCATCACAAAAAAACCCAAACAATTTTGGATTACATGTCAGATAATTGGATTTTTTAGTCAGGGAATCAGACCAGATTCTATTGAGCTATTTTATAATTTCTTTGGGATTTTTAATTGCTTATAGAAAAGACATAATATACAGAATGAATTCCGAGTTTCTTTGTTCCTTTTTCTTTCCAGAGGCAATGTTTACAGTAGGGGCTTATAAAATAGAAGCCAGCTTTATAAGAACTGCAGGTGGATATACCTCATACCTACAGAATCATAGAAAGAGAGAAATGTTTACATACTATATACATTTTTGCTATTTTTAATTTAAATGTTATTTTAATTTAAAACCAGTAAAGGACCAATACCATTTTAGTGCAAGGGAATTTAATTTTTAGTTATTTAAAAATATGTAACAAGAAGAGACATCATATTCTGGGTGTGTGTAAACACTAGAAGGAACATAGTTTCATTTACTGATACAGCATATATGCCCTTCTTTTTATTTGTGCCTAAAGAGAACAGCTATATGTTCTAACCATGGTCCAGTTGATAATGATAAGAGTCATGCTCGCTGAAGCAGCAGTGTGGTGAAACAACCAATACTTCCATTATACAATACAGAGGGGTCACTATGGCCCAATTCCAAAGCCCCTACTCAGGCCATTTAAATCTTATAAGTGACTTATAAAATTAAAATGGGGAGCAGTAGGGAAATTGCCCTTCTCAGTAGTGTAAGTATGGGGGAGAAGCAGGGCACCAGCCCTGGGTGCCAATTTACAAGAGGTGCCATATTGGCGGCCTCCAAGAGTCTGCACCATGGTACTAGTAACTGGAGTGCTGGGACACTTCGCTACAGGAGCAGCTTATAGGGGTAGGGAGATGACGCTGTGGCAGCAGCACTGAATCAGTCTTTGAGTCTCTGGAGCAGGCAAGACTGACTCTCTTCCCTCCAGACAACTCTGCTCAGGGTGCAAAAGTTGCAGGTTACACTTCTGCCCCTTCTTACTTTTTATAATCATAACTGAGGTCTGAACATTTCTTATTAGAAACTGAGGCCCAGTATGGCCTTGCAAGGGTCTATTGTGACTTAAAAGCTAATAAAATGACAACATCATATCAAAAGAATGAATCAAAAGCAGGGTTTGGGGTGGGGGGAAAGATATTTCTATTTACTATGTAAAGCAGTGGTTTGTGTTAATACTGATTAAACAGAAGTGAATAATTAACATTTTGAAGAAAATCATTCTTCATTCAAAATTCTGCATCCTGGTCATTTAATTGTCATTTAACATATTTCCACATGTGGAAAAGGAAGAAAATCAGATTTAGTCAGGAAATTCCAGATCCTCCCAAAGCTAAGGGGATTCATAGATTCATAGATGTTAGGGTCGGAAGGGACCTCAATAGATCATTGAGTCCGACCCCCTGCATAAGCAGGAA